GGGGGGGGTTGGGGTGGGTGGGTTTCCTATCCACTGATGTTATGTCTCAAAGTAGAACCTTTTTTCAGGTTGATCCTTCCTGCTAAACGTCAATAGCAATACATCTACGAATTTGGGAAAAAAACGCTCCCGAATTTGACATTTAACAGGTTGTCAAACCGTTGTCAATGTGCGAACATGATGTTATTAATTGTTTCCATGTCATTATTTTATAAACTGGGGAGAGGGTGAGGGGGTTTATAAATTTCAGTGTTACCTCTCGACAACACGCTCATGGCTAAGCTTTTCCATGGAATTGGTGAACTAAATCCCCCCCTCAACTTTTTTCCCATTTGAGGTGGTGAGAAATCGCGAGTTCCCGTTGTTGGCGTTCTGATCGAAGGTGGACATCAAACGTTCCGTACTGTCTTTGAACTCCTCACTGGTCGGAATCCAGTGCCTGTTGTGATTTGTGACGGATCTGGTCGTGCGGCTGATCTCCTTGCCTTTATGTATCGATATGCTGGACCTGATGGGTGTGTTTATTGATATTTTTTTCTATTGATTGACTAAAAAGACCAATCAGGATAATAAGATCATTTACGGATAATGTCCTATCCATAGAATGCCTTTGCAGGTTCAAAAATTCAAGATCATTTCATGGGGGAAAGCCATTAATCACCATGACTCCATGACAGTTGGTGGCGATGACCGGAGATGAGGTATCTGGCCATCATGGAGTGGAAAGCTTATAATGAGATGGGGAAGCACACGGACTAATTACCACTGAGAAAGTATAATCAAAGATCGTATCTATCAAAGGATGTCTTTTCGGCAAGGCAATATCTAAAGAAAGATCAAGAAAATAGGGAAAGTAGTAAGGTGGACCCAAGAGCGAGAGAGAGAGAGAGAGAGAGAGGGGAAGAAGACGACCTTTTCCGAGTAATTACTTCCCTCTCAAGCTGTATTGGATTGCAATTGGCTATCTCCAAGGTCCTAGTTTCTCAATGGACTTCTGGACATTCACATGGGTTAACCTTCTGATAAGTGCTTCCCTTTCTGACCGACAAGATGTTCATCTTAGCATTTAGTGTAGTTTGCAATATCTCCTGGCCTTTAGGCACTGTTTGTGTCTGTCATGCACTCGTCAGCTTCGACTAGTCAGCCACACATTAAGAGAACTGTTTAGTTGTTTGGGAGGAGGGCTAAACTCTACCTCGCATAAGCTTGAAAGCAAATCATAAATTGGTTAGTTGTACTTGCATCTCTTAAAATCCTCTATGATTGTGTGTTCACCTTCAGAGACCTAGCGCCAAATCTACGTCGACAGGTAATTGGAAATACCGCACGAACATTCCAGCTGAAACAAGCGGAGGCTGAAACTCTCTATTTGGATATGAAACTCTGTATGCGACGTCGTGATCTCGTAAGTCTATTCGCCAGTAGGCTTATGTGTTTGTTAGTAGTATGGTAAATTTATATCGATTTATCAAGTAGACACACAAGGATATCTGGCCAGACTCAACTTTAACTAAAGAAAGCATGGATTTTGTAGATTGGTCAGTCATACTGACTAAACCTAGCTAGTAAAAGGAGTAGAAGAGTTTGAGCTGTAAAGCAGGCTACATGATGCCACTCCACTCCCCCCCCCACCAACATTCAAGTTGAGTATTTGGAAATGATCCCCTAAATGGACAAATTAAAGTAAACCGTCTAGATTTCCACTCCCGCTTTCCGCATTATTTGAATGTGAGTAATTGGGCAAGTTGAGCAAACAAAATGACATGCTCAATTCTTTTTTTTTGCCTATTTTCAGTTGAGCGTCTTTCAAATGGGTGATGGAACTACAGATGAAATTGATCTCACAATCCTAACGGCTCTTCTACAAGGTAAGTTGAAGTACTTTCACTTTCATTTTTGTTATCGGAATTCGATAAGAGGTAGAAAATTGTGCGCATACCCGTCCACTTGGAAATGCGTCCAAAACGCGCGGTTGCAGTCATTGGCAAACAGGCATATTGGATCATTTTTTTGCCAGAAAGTGTTGGCACTCCTCCGTAAAGGCGGCTATAAGTAATACCCAGCCATACTCTTACAGATGAATAGATGCCAGTGGGTGTGTAGAGCTGTTTGATTTCAGGACCGAATTGACCAGGTTCTATTTT